ATAGATCAGGAGTGTATATGACGATTATGATAGATAGATAGATAGATAGATAGATAGATAGATAGATAGATAGATAGATAGAAAGAACAGACGAATATAACTAAAATAATAAGTCATTTCATTCATATCCATTTCAAAATGCAAAGCTTTCGATGTTTTTTGTTCAATTACATTCCTGGTGAAACCGACTTGAAGTTATTTGGTGCGTTACGAATCCGTTTAATGAAATCGAATGGAGGAAATGTTTTACTAATAACTGGATTCACGCTATGTAATTTGGAAATGCACATTAAATAATGAAATATTAAATCAGCCATTGAGTTGACTTTTAATAACCCAAGACTAGGTCATAGTGTCTAGACATTTAGTTAATTATTTCTTAAGAACGTCAAATGATTTCGATCCTGGTGGTCTATGTATATAAATATAATACAGTTTTGAATTTTTACTTTTTTAGCAAAGAAATATTCGTGACGAAATTTAATGCGTCTCAATTCACGGAGGATTTGAATTTAAGCAAATTACTAAGTTATCGTTTTTCTATCATTTCCTTTGCGAGTTATATTGTGGTGGGGAGGGCCAAGAGTTCTTATTAAAAAGTAAAGGAAGTGTCCATTCTTGTATTTCGCTTAGGTAAAGAAAAAGCGTATAAAAGAGAATAATGCTAATAAGTAAAATTGTGTAGACGATTTGCTTATATAGACGATTTGCTTATATAGACTAAATAAGGATTACTTATTGCATAATGGGAGAATGTTAAATGATCTTAATTCTTGTCAAGTTTTGTTTCAAATCTTTATTGTTCCTCTCCTTTCTATTTTACTACAAAAAGCAGTTTTTCTTTATTTTTAAATTGCAATCACACCATGTAAGGCAGTAAAGCCACTAAGACGAAAGGGTTTATAGGGTATGGAAGAATGTAGGAACATAAGCATTAATAATGAGCGGCAAGAGGAAAAAGTAATCAGGGGGACAGTAGATAGCGATTGAGATTGCATCTGATGAGCTGCTCTCTCTGGTTCCCAGACTCCATGAATTCAAGCGCCCTACGAGGCTGGCATCCCGCTCTCACCCTTACACCGTAGAAACCTTCAAATGTAGCCGTCTCTTCTACTCCAATAGCTTCATACCTCGCACCTCTCGCCAGTGGAACACCCTCCCCAATTACTGTTTCCTGAAAGCTATAATCTCCAACTATTCAAATGTAATGTCAATCGACATCTCCAGCTACCTTGATCTACCCACTATCCTTCTCCTCTTCCTTTCTCCTATCACTCTTATCTGCTCTCGCTCCAAACCCCCAGCATCCTAGTGGCTTCACGCCTTGCTTGGGGCACAAAAAAAAAAAAAAAAAAAAAAAAAAAAAATTTGAATTTTTGCAGATTAAAGTTGGCTGGAAAGCATGGTGTTGGAAGGGAATTCCACAAGCGAGAAGTGCGTGAAAGGAAACTGTTAGACTAAAATTTACGACTACATCTAGCCAGTTTAAATTCAAAAACTCTAGGTACCATAACGGAGAACTCATCCTAACAATTACCATGAAAGTATTTATATAAAACACACGTTACTTTAGTCTCGCCATGTATAGGGTGACCCAAAAAGCGGGAACTTTTTAACAATCCAATAAAACCAAGAGTGATGGAAGAAAAATATTTTATTCATAGTAATTGAAACCTTAAAACATGCCATTTAAGAAACAATGATGGAATTTTCATTTTTTTTTTAAATTACGTCCTGTAGATGGCGTCCTCCTGTACGAATGCATTCTTGAAATCTGCTGTTGAGATTCCTCATTGACTGCTGCAACATCTCAGCTGGGATACTGTGAATGTCATCATGAATTGTAAACTACAGCTCAAATGCACGCAAGGTTTAGAAATTACTTTTCATTACATTTTACAGTATGCCTTATAGGCTGTGCGGGTGGTGTAATAGTATATAACCCGGAATGAACATTCACGAAACGAGTTCGAATTCTTATCGAGTTTGTTACCTTCTCTTTCGTGCAAATACCCTTGAGAAAGTCATGAACCCGTCTCTTATGGTTTACATATTGGGTTTTTTTAAAAAAGTTCGCTCGTTTTTTTTAATTTTTTTAATCGGTATCAACCCCTGAAAAGCAGTAAAGCCATTAAGATTCAAAGGGTTACTGAGTGTGAAAGAATTAGGAACAGAAACATTAATAATGAGCGGGAAGAGAAAAGAGTAAACAGGAGGACAGTAGATAGCGATTGACATTGCATTAAAATTTCTGCAGATTAAAGTTGGCTGGAAAGCATGGAGCTGGAAGGGCGTTCCACAAACGAGAAGTGCGTGAAAATAAACTGTTAGCATATAACTTGCAGTTACATCGAGCCAAGTCAACTGTAAATCGATGAGATGTTGACGACAGTCTAGTACTTGGTTTAAATTCAGAAAATCTAAGTACCATAGCGAAGAGCTTATCTTAACAATTACCCTGAAAGTACTTATAGAAAAGTTATAGAGAGGCAACTTTATGGCGGTAGGAAATTGACTGAAACCGAGCCGCCAGATCAGGGCCAATAATATTGCTGATTCTTCTTTGGATCTCATCAAGTAGCTTAAGGTAAATACCTGTGATACCGGTTCATATGTGGCAGCAATATTCTAAGCATGCACGAATGGTAGACTTCTAGATATGCAAGATATATTCCAGAGAGAAAAATTGTCTCGCCCGACATAGGAACCGACTTCCTTAGCAGCTGACCTAGAAATAGATTCAGTATTTTCTTTCCACTTCATATCAGAAGAGAACCTGAGCCCAAGAAGGCGCAATGAGTCGCTTTCCTGGAGGTTAGCATCAGCCATATTGATGGAAGTCAGCGAGGCGTCTCTCAGATGAATAATTGAGAGAAATGTAGTTTTGGAGGCGTTAAAATGAACAAACCTTCTTTTTTCCCCAGTTAACGACCGGCTTAAGGTCGTTTTGGACCTCGGCTTCCATTTTGACCTTGTAGGCAGGAGTAAATTGTTGTGTCATCAGCTTTCATTTTAACCATTCTACGCAGAATGGTTGTGAAGTAATGAAGTAGCCTCCGATGAGATTTAAACTGGGATTTCGTATCCTTGGGAGCCTGTCTACCATGGACGAAACCTTGCTGGTTAGGCCACGAAGACCAATCAGAAAGTGATTATAGCTGTATGACTAAAGTCGAATTTCTTCCGCTGATGGATCTCTTTGGTATCAAATGATCGAACACTGTTCAGGTCAGACATATCCATAATATCTCCAAGGACCATTTCATTATTTTCCGATTCATGAAGCCTATTTGACTCATGAAATATAAACTGAGCTGAGCCTTCCGATAAAATGTAATTATAAAGATGAAAAGAAATAGTAAAAAAAAAAGCCAAAAAAACCCTCAATGATGATACTGCCGCATTTGTGAAATTTGGACAAGTTAAGACCATTACATCACATTAGAAGCGTGTATATGCAGGTAGCGTAATAGTTATCGAAAAGTGGATTTTAACGGGCCGAGTTCAAATCCCGGTCTAGTCTGCTGAACTTACTTTCGCACTAATTTTGTTAGAAATCAATTTCTTTTTCTCCCAGCTATGGGTTAAATAGTAGACTCTGAATTCAAAACCGTAAAAAAGTAAACAGTAAACTACTTCTTTATCTTTCCCAAGAAGTCATCGAAAAAGAATATCTGAAGTGTCGTAATCGCTTACGTCCGGAAGTAAAATGGCGTTAAAAATACTAAGTTTAAATAATCTCTATATAGTGAAATTAGTAGCTGTAGACGGAATAATTTTCATTTGAAGAAAAACTAGCCAGAAACCAATAATGACAAATGGTTGATCAAATTTTCCGGGTTGTGTTGGTTTGGCCGGTTTTACGACATGTCGACCCTTGTTGGGTAACTTATTTTCGAATAGGTCACCCAGTGAGGATCGAACTCATTACTAATAGTCAATCAGACAAACCTCGCTGATTAACTCACACGGAATAATCTTTGTGGTATTCTCGTAGGAACATATATGAAATAGTGAGCGAGATTACAAGTCCACATAACAGGTCCGCCCACAGGTAAGAAAAATACTTGATGGCTATAAAGGCATCAGTATTAGATACGAAGAAGGTTTATAAATTATGTGGTATATATTGACTATCATTTGCTGGACACAACGGACACAGTTCCATCTAGAGAATATTAGGGAACCGAACTCATATTCTGAAAACTATTCTACTGTGTATTCTACTGAGTATGGATTCTTTCTATTCTATTCTGAGTATTCTACCGAGTATGGATCTTTCGTAGCAATTAGAATTGGGAATTAATGTAAATTTTCAATCTCTTAGATGAATGTAAAATCTGATTTATATTGTATACATAATAAAAAAAAACCCAATTAGGCCGTAATGAATATCACGGAGACAAGTAACAGTGATCTGTCTATATTTCTAAGATGTACTCTAACTATTTACACTATCTATATTGTTCGGACTGTTGTCCTCATCTTTAATGACATATTCACGACATTTCGGCCATTGACACTCCGGCTATGGCCAAGTGGATAAAAGCTTTGGTGGCGTAATCCAAAGATTGATTTGACTCAAAGAGTTGTGAGATCAATATCTGGCCACAACAAAGGGAACAAAAAACCTTGGGGAGTTGAGTTACCAAAAAGAATTTATTGAAACAGAGATATCCAAAAAAAAAAAAAAAACCAAAAACAAACAAACAAAAAACAAGCAAAAAAAAACAAAATATTTCAACGTATATCGTCTGAAGAAAGCCGGGGCGTACAACGGCTGAAATGTGAATATGGCAATAAAGATGAGGACAACAGTCCAAACGATGTAGAATGTTTAAAAACGTATGAGTGAATGTAGCATTTAGCGTTGATTTCCTTTGTCAAGTTCCACATATATAAACATAATCATACCTGGGTTTGCGAACTTGTTTGTGAACTCTTAAATCTCAGATGAAACCAGAAGTATTTACGTAGGTATTGACGATATTTATATTCGT